AAGTCATGGGATTTGGGACCAAAAGCATTTGAAGGTAGGATGAGGTGCTGCGGCAAGGAAGTTGAAGACTGAAAACACAGAACTAGGGGAAGAATCTGCTAAACACTGAGGAGAAAGCCATCTTGGGTGACTGATGAGTGAATGAGGGGCTGGAAGGACAGTGCGGCAAGGAGGGGCACGCCTAAACAGGGTCTGGCTCAGGGGGCAGGCAAGAGGAGGAAGCAAAAGGAAAGATGGTCAAACCAGCAAGGGAAGAGTTGGAGCAGCACGCACACTGATGAACAGTTTGAAGGAGAAATGGAAAATGCTGAGAAAGGAAATGTGGTGGCTTGGGATCCTCAAGGATGGAAGAGTCAGACCCAGGAAGAGGTCTAGGATGGTCTCTTGCCAAAGGAGAGAGGCGGAAAGACGGGTGCAAATTCACGATGGTTTATTGAATTGGTTCTAAAAGGTCGAGAGGTTCCATTTCTTGGGGTTTTCCCTTCAGCAGGAGAGACTGTACTTGCCAGTGAGGGATGGAGCTTTGAGGAGAATGTGGGGTTAGAGATAATTGTTTCAGGGAAAGGGAAAGGCTATGAAGAATGCCAGGTGGTCTTGAGCTGCAGGTTAGAGGAGGTGGCTGTAAATTCCCAGTTGTCTGAAAATGCCCCGCTAGACCACTGAGATGACTGAATGGCGGCTACACACGCATCAGGTGCCAGACATTAGGGAAGCTAGGGCAAGGTTATGGGGAAGCCCCTTGCTAACACTGTGGCTCAACTGGTTAATCCTGCACCTGCTAACACTGGCATCTATATGCGTTCTGGTTCATGTCCTGGCAGCTCCACTTCCCATCCTGGGAAGGCAACAGAGGATGGCCCAAACCCTTTGATCCTGCACCCATGTGGGAGACCCGGAAGGAGCTCCTGACTCCTGGCTTCAGATCTACTCAGTTCTGGCCATTGTGACCATTTTGGGAGTAAACAGTGGATGGAAGATCTCTATTTGTCTCTCCTTCGCTTTATAGAATCTACCTTCCCAATAGGAATAAATACATCTGAAAAAGCTTGGATAAGAATGTTATGTTATAAATATACAAGTGTTGGGTGAGGTGTTGTTACAAATGCTTGAAAAGAGCAACCATGTAGGCAGTGAGAGCAGGAGAGACCGAGGGAAAGGCACTGGACCGCTGGCAGTGCTTTAGCACAGGTTAGTGACCATGTGGTCATAAGCTGGAGACGAAGCATGCCAAGGAAGAGCTGTCTGATGCAAACATTGGAGTATTGAGAAATGATTTGGGGTGGATGACCATCCAACTAGATGGTAGGGGATAAAGTCACCAGAGATGAAAAGCCCAGGTTGGACGTTGCTGGATGTTGGGTAAGCAAGTGTTGCGGACTGTGAACTCTCCAAGGATGCTGGCAGATAAGGGGAATTGTCGGGAGGGCAGAAGAGCCATCCGGGAAGTGCAGGAAAAGGGGATTAGGAGCTGACAGAGCCTCAAGGGAAATGGGATGCACAGATAGACACCTGTTAATGCATCAATGCGATGTTTTCCAGGCTTCCCTGGGGCGCAAGGGGTCACTGGCCTCCACTGACTCACTCTTAGGAGGCTCATTGAGAATGAAGAAACAGTTTGTAATCCAAAGAACCTGAGGTGAAGTTTGAACTCTGGAAGGGAAGACAGCTTTCTGCAAGGTAGAGGGGGAAGGAGCTGCGGCTTGGGTTCTGTGCTCACAGCACCTTAGCCATCTCAGCAAACAGCAGGAGGGTGTTCAGGTGTGGCCCCTGACTGCAGGGATTCCTGCTGGGGCACTGCTTGGTTAGGCCAGTCCTCTCTGGGAGAAGTCCGACAGAAAGGGAGAGAACTCGGGTGTGTCTTCTCAGTCTTGCCTGGTGTGAGAGCCTCGAGATACGAAGCACTTGAAGAGCTCCAGAAACAGGAAGAGCTTCTAGCCAAGGCAGTGGCTGCACTGAGCAAGTTCAGCATTCTGTGCTCAGGGATTCTTAACACTTCTGTGTGTAAGTGAAGTAAACACAGAAATGAGGTGTAAAGATCCTTTCTCAAATGTCTTAAAAAGCATAAGATATTGAAGATCATGAAGGAAATCAATTATAAAATAGCCATAAAAATCTGTTGTGGTTTATATACGATACAGTATTATGTGGTCACTGAATAGGATCTGGCAGTCATTTTGATAACTACCATAATTCTGAAGTAATGGTGAACACAGTATTTCAGATGTTTGTACCAAGTCAGTGATTTAGAAACGTCTGTAATCTCTGTTGGAGACGCAGATACTGCTAATCCTGTACTCGTTGCCTATGTTTATAATCAAGGGAAATTTTAGCAAGAAGTTAATAAAATAAAGATGTCATTTTCTCCTGTCAAGATTCGCTGACTTGAGTGTTCTGTTCACGGGGTCTGCAGGCTCCGGGTTTAATCAACAGCAGGGCTCTGGTCAGTCGCATAGGAAGCAGAGCTAAGCTCTGAAAAGCATTTGGCAATGCATAAATAACCATTACTCCATTCAGGAAGCAATTGCTGCTCTGTACAAAAAAAGGTGATGATGTGCTGCAGTGGGTCACAGCGGTGGGAAATCATTTTGATGGAGTGGACGCCACCACTCCAAAGGCCACGGTCAACATGAAGAGCAGGCGATGTTGGGAAATCAGCATTGGAAACTGGGCTGTGCAGCTAAAGGCCAACTTACCATTATTAAAAACCACATTGGGGCACAGCTTTTTCTGCTAAAGGGCTAGTACCATTCAACACTTCGCAAAGAGCAGCTGTGTTTCATGTTGAACCTTGTCAATAACCTCACCTTGTGCTTGTGAACCATCTCATACTTTCAAAAGCACATTTGCCTCTGTTTGTGAGTCTGAAGTCATTGCTGCGTGTGGAACGCTTACCTGCTTTGTCATGCATCGCAGTAGCAGTAGCACTGCAACTGTGGGGTGCAGCTGTGTCAGCAGGAGAACCCCGTCTGTGGGAGAGGCACATGGCTCCCTAAGTGTCTCAGGGGTGGGCTTTCCTAAAAAGACATGCTTACAAAGCTGACAGGCCGGCTAAACTAAGCTGACGGATTGACTGCGATTCAATAGTGGATTCAATAGAGGATTTCACTCATGTTCCCAGACATCTCTGCTGGAACCAAGAGACGTGGGCAGTATGTCACAGTTTTGAAACAAGGCCAGTTTTGTGAACATAATGCCGAGAAGATTAATTCCGTTCTAGTTCTAAGGACATCAGCCATGACCACTGTCAGCCATGTGCAAAGTGGCTCCTACTTGCCTCTCCTCTTTCTCCATGTTTCCGGTTCTTACCTCACCTCCATTTGTCCTTTCTTTGTGCCAGCTGCTGCCATGCCTCCTGCTCAGCAACCTTCCTTCGCACTTACATCCCCTTTACACTTCCACTTCTGACCTGTCTTCCCCTTTACTGTACTGTTATTACTATGACTATGACTGTTATTCTTGTTTCAACAGGAAGACCAGCCCTCATGTGCCTCCCTCCTTCCTTCTAGTCCAGAGGATTCATGTCCCAACTCTGTCAATAAATAAAACAGTCCTCTGCAACATTGCTGTGAATGATGTAATCCTGAAAACGAACATGAAGATGTGCTGGCCAGCTATGCTTCTCTTCTGGCTGGCCAGTGTTCCTTTGCTCTGGTGTACATCCTCCCCTAGGCACACGCTGCAGAGAGGGGCTCACGCAGGGAGATGAACAACCCTTGTTGCCTTTTCCTTAGCTTTTCTGTATATGATCAAAACTTGGGAAAACACATATCCCACGCCGCTTGGGACATTGCAACAGGGAGGCACACCGGCCAGAAACGACAGCTGCTAGTTGGACCCTGTTATTTCTGCTGTGTCTCTTGTGGTGCCTGCTGGCGCCTGGTAGTTGCAATCAAGATAGCTTCTAACACTGATTGAGACCTTGCTGTTTAGCAGGTTCCATGCTAGGCCTTTCTGTGGTTGTCTCAGTAATCTCAGAAAACCTCCAAGATTATATTATCTGCCTTCTATAGGTAAGGAAACATTCTGGGCTGTTGAAATGAGAGTTTGAAAATGCCTTGCCTGAGATCATGTAGCCATTGCTTATCAGATGCTAGAATTTTTTTTTAAAGATTTATTTGTTTTTATTGGAAAGGCAGATGTACAGAGAGGAGGAGAGACAGAGAGGAAGATTTTCCGTCCAATGATTCACTCCTCAAGTGACTGCAATGGCCGGTGCTGTGCCGATCCGAAGCCAGGAGCCAGGAACTTGTTTCCAGGTCTCCTACACGGGTGCAGGGTCCCAGTGCTCTGGGCTGTCCTCAACTGCTTTCCCAGGCCACAGGCAGGGAGCTGGATGGGCGGGAAATGAAGCTGCAGGGATTAGAACTGGTGCCCATATGGGATCCCAGCACGTTCAAGGCGAGGACCTTAACCACTACGCTATCGCACCGGGCCCAGATGTTCTAAAATTCTGTCTTTCAAATAAATAAAATAAATATATTCTTCAAAAATTTCCATTGGAAAGGCAGAGCTACAGAGAGGAGACAACAGAGAGAAAGTTCTTCCGTCCCATGGTTCACTCCTCAAATTTGGCAGCAACAGCTGGGGCGGTGCCAATCTGAAGCCAGGAGCCAGAAGTTTCTTCTGGATCTCCCACATAGGTGCAGGGTCCCAAGGCCTTGGGCCATCCTCTACTGCTTTCCCAGGCCACAGGCAGGGAGCTGGATGGGAAGTGGAGCAGCCGGGACATGAGTTGGTGCCATGTGGGGTCCCAACAGATGCAAGGGGACGATTTAGGCACTAGGCTATTGCGCCAGGCCCATAAAATAAATCTTTAAAAAGGAAGAATGTTCACTGCAGACTTTCGTGTGTCACTGTTTTTGGTCTGTGGTGGAGTCCATAGTCGGGCGCCCGGGGCTGTGAAGGCCACCTGCCTGGGGCTGGGTTAGGCAGTTCTTCCCAGAAATACATGACGCTCTTTACATTTACATGTACTGCTTCTCCACCGGGCCGCTCTGCAGCTGAGGAGAAACTTCCTGAGTTGCCTGTCCTGGAAAATCCCACCTCGTGCCCTCAAGTCCTCCCAGTCGGAAGCGCTGCTCGAGACAGCAAGTAATGGGCTACCCTTTGCTCCGCTGCAAACATTTACGGATGAGGAGATGATGATAAAGAGCTCAGGTACGACCTTTCTCATCTTTGTCATATTTCTCTGACAGCAGTTCTGTTGGCAAGATTTGCTCAGCTCGCTTTGCAAACAGAGGAGGCTGTGGTGCAACCTTGGAAAAAATTGTGTGTGTCCAAGGTTTTGAAAACAGCAGCAGAAGCCTGGGGCCCCTTGTTCCCCATTTCTCAGAAGCCACCTTGTTACCATCTCTTATGTAGACTTGCAGAGTTAGAAGAGCATAAATACTCCATTTTAAAAATATGTTTAGATAATGGGGTTTTCAAGCTTTACATAAAATTAAAGATGTGCCTTTATCTGTGAAATGCTCCCGATAGGAACCGGGAGCCTGAATCCAAGGAATACAAATTGTATGCTGCTAAAACCCTTCTGCAGAGAATCAAGATGGCAGAATAGGGTAAGGACACGTTCAGACAGATGGAAAGGTATTACCCAGTGTGAAGCAAAGAGGGCATATTCCAGGAAATAGAATAGGACAGAACAACAGCAGAGAGGTACCTGGAGACTGACAGACACAGGAAAGCAGCGGACACAAAAGTGTGGTGTTGCAGAGGCCTTCAGTGAATGGTGAGCTGAACTCCACCAGCAGCTAGAACTCCACCAGCAACAAGGTGGGAAGGGACGTCTAGTGGGAGCTCCAGAGGTGAACCCTGACAAAGAACTGCCTGTCCCGCTGGTCTGTTTGATTTGACCAGGAGCAGAGACAAAGCAGCACGTCCCACGCAGGCGGTGCTAGAACAGGGTAGATTTCATAGCCCAGTCCGCCTCCTTGAGCCATATTGGGCGTCATTTGTTTAAGGAGGCAAGGGCTATGGGTCAGGACTGTGCATACATGGAGCTGGGAGTGAACTCATTTCTGGTTCATTGAACAGCAACAATGTGGCCTCCTACAGGTTCCACCCAAGACAGGTCGGGGTAATCCTCAAACCTGATGGCCAGCAGATCAAGAACTCTAGTAGTGGCACATCAGGCACCATTTCCTATAGTGTGGCAAAGAATTTAAGACTGCAGAGGGCAAGTTAGCTGCGCATTTGCTGAGTTCAGCGAGAACTCACTGAGTTCAGTGGATTGCACTGGTCCCATAGGAAAATAATACCGACTGTGGCATCATACGGGTCAAACTAGGTTTCTGTGCATCTCAGACATAATGGCCAACAGGTTCCGGCAAGATCAGCACCACCAACAACCTACCTATATAAAGACACCTGGTGTCTCCCTAATTCTGGGACCTGCTCCAACCGGAAGTGGGAGAAAGGCTGTGCAGACATTGGTGCAGCCTCAGCACAGTTACACAGAAAGTTGAGACTGGTGAGCCAGGTGCTGTGGCTACAGAGACCATGGTGAAAATCTAACGTAAGAACCCAGACCTGGAACTTGCTGGAGGTTGTGGCACAAATGACTGCAAACAAAAAGCCATGAACCAACTGCAATAAGTAAAATTAAACTGTAAACCTGTGGTGACAGAGCTTAGAAACCTGCCCCAAGGAGAAGGCTCTGATAACCAGAAGTACAATGACCAAGAGCAAAAGAAGAGACAAAGGCACAATGAATATTACTGAAAACTCCCCTGCGAAGGAGCAAACCCTTATTATACCTCAGAGTTAACTGAGGAAGACATCGAGAAATTGGGGATACAGAATTCAAAACACTTATGAAACTTCTTATCAACAACGAGAAGCATATAAAGCAGGAAATCAAGGAATATGTCACACTGGAAATGATTCAAATGAAAGCTAATATATCAGAAATGAAGAATACAGTGGAGCAAATTAACAGTACAGTGGGGAGTCTCCAAAATAGAATGAAGGAGGCAGAAGAAAGAATCTCAAAATTAGAAGATATTTTCTGTCACCACAGGAAAACAAACAAAAAGCTGGAAGCAGAGCTGGATCAGGCCAAAAAAAGTATTCACTAATTGAAAGACACTATTAAGAGGCCAAATATAAGAGTTATGGGAGTCCCAGAAGGTGCAGAAAGAAAAGCTGGGTTTAAAGATGTATTTGGGGCCCGGCACGGTGGTGCAAGTGGTTAAGGTCCTCGCCTTGCACGCCCGGGAGCCCATATGGGCGCCGGTTCTATCCCGGCTGCCCCGCTTCCCTTCCAGCTTCCTGCCTGTGGCCTGGGAAAGCAGTCGAGGACAGCCCAAAGCTTTGGGACCCTGCACCCGCGTGGGAGACCCAGAAGAGGCTCCTGGCTTCAGATCGGCATAGCATCGGCTCGTTGGGCTCACTTGGGGAGTGAGTCATCGGACAGAAGATCTTCCTCTCTGTCTCTCCTCTCTGTATATCCGCCTTTCCAATAAAAAAAAATAATAAAAATAAATCTTTAAAATATATATATATATATAAATGTATTTGATGAAATAAGTATGGCAAATTTCCCTGATCTCGAGAAAGAATTGGGAAACAACATCCAGGAGGGGCATAGAACTGCCAACAGACTTGACCAAAAGCAATCTTCACCACGACACATGATAATCAAGCTCTTTTTAATAGAACATAAGGAAAAGATCCCTAAATGTGCACGTGAAAAAAAATCAACTGACATATAAAGGAATGCAATCAAACTCACAGGAGACCTCTCACAGGAAACTCTACAGGCAAGAAGAGAATGGAGTGACAGAGTCCAGATTCTAAAAGAAAAAATTGTCAGCCCAGGATGACATACTCAGCTAAGCTTTCTTTTGTCTTTGAAAATGAAATAAAATTTTTTCACAGTAAAGAAAAGTTAAAAGAATATGACTCTTCCAAACCTGCCCTACAAATGATACTTAAAGATGTTCTCTTAACAGAGAAGAGGAATAACACCAAACAAAACCAAAGGCAAATATGAAGAACATCCCAGGAAAATGACAACAGAAGATTAAATCAATGAACAACCCATTGCTAAAATGGCAAGACCAAATTACCACCCAATCATATTAACCCTGAATGTAAATAGCGTAAGCTCAATCAAACGTCATAGATTAGTAGACTGGATTAAGAAACAACCCATCTATTTGTTGCCTGCAGAGACATATCTCACCAATAAAGATCAGCAGAAACTGTATCTCATGGATTTTGATTGTTTTGTTAGTTTCATCTCTTCAAAACACTTTCTTCTGATTAAATTCTTCAGTGACTCATAGATCATACAGTAGCATCATTTTCTTCAAGAAGGTTCTGATTTTCTTTTTCATTTCTTCAGAGACACATTAGTCATTCAGTAGCATGTTATTTAACTTCATGGTGTTATTAATTTCTTTTTTCTTCTTCCTGTTGTTGATTATGTTTTGTGGCTTTTCATTTAAGGGGATGTACAGTAACTGTGTAATGGAGACTATCATATCTAGCAGCATGTTATTTAAATTCATGGCATTGTAAATCTCTATTTTTCTTTTGTTAAAAAATAAATAAATAAAACCCTTCTGCAGTTGACCTCCATTTAGTTCTGTGAAGAGATGTGTATGTGTGTGTAAGACTAAGATACGCTTTAAAAACCTGTAGCGCAATGACAGAGCTGTTCTTAGAATATGAGTTGTTCATCAACTAGGGTTTTTTTGTTGTTGTTGTTGTTGTGTAACAATGTACACAAATTTGGTGGGATAGAACAATATTTGGGCATTCCCTGTTCTCTAGATAGAGGTGAAGGATAGCATCCAGGGTCAGGAACCCTCAAGGCTCTCCTCGGGGCATGCGGGCAGTGTTTTCATGTGCAGGGCAGAGTCCTGGCTCCTGTGGTGGTGTCAGCATTCAGGTACTAACTGATGCAGGCCAGAGGTCGGTTGGCTTCTCACCATTGCCTAAGGCCTCCACCAGCCTGTTTTTACTGCCACAGGGCTCCCTCCCATGCAACTGGTTCCTCTTAAAATCTGTCCCATCTGGAAAAGCCCCTTGCTTTTTAGGGCCTCTCCTACTAAGGGCAGGCCCACGGACCATCACCTGCCTGTTTTCAGGTCAGCTGATTTGGGACTTTCTTTTTACCTGTAAAAATCTTCCTGGTAGCATTTGGGTTTATGTCTGAGTAAGTGAAGACAGGTGCGTCAGAGGCTGGCCCTCTTGGGACCATCTCAAGATTCTGCCTCCCACAATAAGTACATCTCGCTTTCTTTGCCCCCTCAGCTTTGGTGTGATCTCTGAAGGAAATATGCACACAGAGATACATCGTATGTGTCTATTTAGATAAGTATTTCTGACTTTCAAAGGACATTTTCAGAACAAAAAAAAAGTAATAAAATTAGGTACATTCAAGGAGAGAAACTGGAAGGCCAGAGCAAGAAACAAGGCTTTCATTTTTCATTTTATGTTTTTATTTTTGGGCCACATGTACCTATTAACATTTTTAATGCCCTAAAGGATTATCAGGAGGCTGGGGAATTTATAGTTTCTATAATAAAACAAACAAAAAAACCCTTAAATTGTATTATAAACGAATAATGGCACTAGTATACATCTTCATGTCTTTAAAGGGTTATTATGGAATCCAGTGCTGTGGCATAAGTGGTTGTGCCGCCACCCATGCCACCACCACAACACACAGGCACCAGTTGCAGTTCTGCCTGTTCCCCTTCAGACACAGCTCCTTACCGAAGGGCTCAAACCCCCAAGCCTGCAGGGGAGGCGTCTGAGACCAGCCTGGCCCCGCTCTGGCCACTGCAGACGTTTGGAGAGTGAACCAATAGATGGACAATCTCTGTCTCCCTCTCCTTATAACGCTGCCTTTTAAATATATATATAACTCTTGTTTTTTTAAAAAAGATATACTTTTCAGAAGAGTGAGAAGGCAAGAAGCAGAGGTCTTCCATCTACTGGTTTACTTCCCAAACAGCTATAATCAGTTGGACTGTGCCATGCCAAAGGCAGGAGCCGGAACTCCATGCAGATCTCCCACATGTGTGGTAGGCACCCTGGCACTTGCCCAGCTTCTGGAGCTTTCCCTAACACAGTAATCTGGAGCTGGATTAGAATCAAGACATCTGGGACTCAAAGTAGTGCTTCAGTGTGGGATGCTGACTTGCAGGTGGCAGCTTAGCTCACTGTGCCAGATGCCTAGTTAAATGTGTTGAAAACAAAGTTTTGTTATCAAACTATAATGAACTGTTACAATCTTTGTTAACATGTGTGTCACTTGAACATAAACTTATACTTATTTTTTTTCACACAGTTAAAAAATTTGCACAAGAACAAATTGCGCCTTTCGTTTCCAGAATGGATGAAAATGGAAAAATGGAGGAATCAGTAATACAAGGATTATTTCAACAAGGGGTATATATTTCATAATTCTTTCATTTTCTTTTTTTATTATTATTTTATCTTGATAATCTTTACATGGTTGATTAGGGCACAAAGGGTCAAGGCCTACAGGAAAGTGGGTAAGACTATAGGTTTCACATTGTTTGGTTTTTTGTTTTTTTTTTTTTTTTGATCTGGGGTAAGGGGAGAATAAAGAGAGAAGCCCACCCAGCCACCCACTCATCCCAGGTCCCCGACGTGGGACATACTCTGAGGGTCCTACTCAAGTGCTTTTGATAGTCCAACAGTTCTGAAATGCTGCCAATCTCACCATTCCAAACACGATGAACTCTCCAGAATCCACTGCTGACAGTCTACCTTAGAGTCTGCCCAGATTTTCGCTGCCAACCCATGGCTGGGGTAGATATCGATTTGTTGTGTCCTCCATCCTGTTGTGGTACCAGGTGTCCTCTGCAGGTTCCAATAGAACCTTGCCCTATCCTCCATGTGCACTTGGATTTGCTGACTACTGTTCCATCTGAGCCTCTGAGGAGATTCAGCTTTGACGCTTGCACTCCATGGTCAGACCTTGGAACCTGCACTTCTCTTCGTGGTTGGGGTTGTGAGATCAGCAGTTGAGTTGGAGGGATCCTCAAAGAAACTTTGCCTGAGGTGATCCCAGGCCTGATTCCTGTGTGTGCATGCCAGTACAGGGTCCGGCACAGCCTGTTGCCCCAATCAGCTTATGCATATGTTGGTGGTTGCAATTGTTGGGTCGGTTCTGTTTCCAGCCATGTCTTCTACAAGAACCAATGGGTGTTGCAGTCCAGCCTGACTCTGCCCACCACACACTCGGCCCTCACACAAACCAGTGGGAGCTACAGCCTAGTCGGGGAGACTCCCCATAACCCCCAGCAGCCTGCCCCTGTCCTGGTTCCCTTGCTTGCCCATATGTACAGCAGACTGGTCCAGTCAGTCCCACATCCCATTCAGCTCTCCTATATGTCAATGGGCAGTGAAGCCTAGTTCAGTCCAACCAGCCCTCTATCCAGCCCACACACGTGCTGGTGGGTGCCGTTCTGTCTACCCACTGTATGCTCTATGCTAACAGCTCATCTCAGTACTCCCATGTGGGCTGATGAATCAGTCTGACCCAAACCAATCATTCCTTTTCTCCCCTCTGAACAGCCAGGTCTTAGTCTCCAAACTGCCAGCAAGTTCAGTGTCCCGGTCGTTCGGAGTCACACAGGATTCATCCTTCACTTACACTCACGTTGACCATATCCATTACTGTCTTTAGGCAGCACTTACATACAAAAAAAAAAAAAAAAACCCTAGTGCTCGCTGCTGGGCAAGCAGGTGGAGCCTAGTGCCCAAGGGTTCACTGGCCGCCCAACATCCAGGACTCGCTCACCACGTAGCAATGGTGTCCATGGGCCGAGTCCCAGGCATTGGGTCAACCTGGCTTGGGTACTCTCTGCCAAGCAAGTCGCCACCACTGTGGAGAGCTGCTGTCACCTGAGCTGCCAAGGTCGAACTAATTCTTCCATTTTTAAACTTTTTAAAATACATCCCATGTTAAAATGCATATACACTATTAGATTTAGGGACATTAATAATAGTATAACAAACTCTTGATTTCCTGGTCAAAATTATCTGTGTTCTCTTTTAGGCTGATATACTAGTTGCTATTAATGTATTTAAACTTTTTTTAAATTGACATGATATTAGAAGTTGGAAATACTGTGCTTTCTAAAAAGAAAAGGTAAGAAGAGTAGATATGATTTCTTTAGACCAGTGCCTCTCAGTCGGGGCAGTTTGGCCTCCGAAGGGCATTCAGCAGTATCTGGAGACAATTTTAGTGGGCACAACTGCTGCGTTCCAGGGGAGAGGCAGCATGGCCGCATGGGATAATGACGATAGCAGAGAGTCCCCCAGCTCCCTGATGGTGTAAAGAACCCCGGCTTTAGATAACTCTCTGAGTGTGATACCCACTCCACCTGAATCTCAGTGTATCCGGTCAACTTAGAAGCAGAGGTGAAATCTGAACTCTGACCAGAGCAGCAGATGTCCAACTTTTCAAGTCCCGCAGTCCTTTGCTGGAGGTTCATCATATGAAATAGAAAGTAGAACTCCCCTGCCTGTGGGTGGAGGAAGAGGCCGTCCTCGTGGGGACACCAAGGAGGACCTCTTAGGTCACTGTACTAACTAACTTGGGTTTTCTTTCTGCATTAAGTATGGAGTGATCTCTTAGTTTTTTAATTTAAAAGTAATTTATTTGGAAGGCAGACAGACAAAAATAGGCAGAGTTCTCCAGTGTTTTGATTCACTTCCCAAATGCCTGCAACTGCCTAGAGTGGACCAGACCGCAGCCAGCAGCCCAGAACTCAATCCAGGTTTCCCGTGTGGGTGGCAGGAGAGCCAAGCATTTGGGCCCTCACCTGCTGCCTCCCAGTGTGCTCATCTGCAGGAAGCTAGGGTGGAGGCAGAGCTGGAAATCTAATCCTGGAGTCCTGATAGGAGATGTTGATTCCCCCAACCCTCCCTCCACAAGTGGCAGCTTAAACACTGTGCAAAAATCTCACCCCAGAAATACATACCTTACTTTAAATGTTTTTAGATTTATTTATTTGAAGGAGTTGCAGAGAGAGATAGATGGAGAGACAGAGAGAGATCTTTCATCCACAAATGACCAGAAGCTTCTGTGGGGTCTCCCACATGGCTTTACAGATCCAAGCACTTGGACCATCTGCTGTTTTCCCAGGCCATGAGCAGCGAGCTGGATAGGAAGTGAAGCAGCCAGGTCTCGAACCCATATAGGATGCTGATGCCACAGGTGGCAGCCCCATCTGAGCCCTGTTTTAGGTATTAAGGATGCTCCAGAACTGGTTGCTGTTACTAAGAGCTGTTGTCTGCAATGTGTCTGTCATCCTGTTTGAAAAATAGCCTTTCCACTTAGCTAGATAATTTTACTTCTTCCTGTTTTACCATGACCAGCTTTTCTAAGGCCATTTTCTTAGTGGTGATTTTTCCAACATTTTTTGACAATGAAACTCTTGGGCAAATGGAGTCCTCTGCAGTCACATTGGATCAAACAGAAGTCTAGTGTGTAAGTTTAGACTCTGAGTCCATTCTTCAGCCTTGTTTCACTGAACCGTTCCCAGACCCAATAGCCTGAGAAGCTTTGTGGCCTTCTAGGACCTGAGGCAGCAGTTCCCCCGGTCAGGGCTGCCTAGGCAGAATCTGTACCTGCACCTGCTACCTATCTGTAAAAATTGCCCTTGCTTAGAGTAACCCCTACCTGCTTCATATCACATTGTCCCAGCCACAGTGGCTAAAGCAAGCAATATTTCTAATCATTAATGTGATTGTTTCACAGGAAGCAATCCCTGCAAGTGCTCGGGATTTATAGCAGATAGTTACCATGCCCTGCTTGGTCTTCAAACACATCCACGTCCTTCTCTTCTTCCTCACCGAGCATCAGTTCTGGTTCTTGCATGGTTTTGATCCTCCCTCTCTGTGGTTCTGACCTTACGTGAGCTGTGCTTTCCTTCAGCCTAGAGCCCTGCAGCCACGACTTTGGTTTCAGCAAGTTGTGGATTCCAAGGGTGTGTGAAGGGAAGAGGGGCAGCCTCTTCTTATCTGCTCACAGCTGCGGGTTGAGGGTTCCATGGACACATCCTGTGAAGAGAGGACACTTAACAAGTCAAGTCCTGCCGAAGCTGACTGTAGCTGTGGCTGAACTTGCTCGGAGTTACTAGAAAGTCTTGGCCAAGGTGTAGTCATGTTTCCCATACAATAGCCATTGTCACAAGTCTTGCCTGGTGACCCTCTTGGACTTGCTAAAATGGCAAGTTTCTATCCTCGCTGAAAAACTTAAGATGGAGGAGCCTGAAAGAAAAGACTAGGCCAAATGAGACTGTGGCCATTCACCCACAGGAGCCTCACTGTCCACCGAGTCAGTATTGAGGGAGCTGGGCTCAAAGGCCGAAGCAGCGTCGGCAGTCCAAGCAGATGGCCGTTCTAACAAGACGGGCAGCAGGGGAGAGTCCATCATGCATCCTGTCCGTCATACTCCACTGCCTTGAAAGCACTGTACCACTCCTAATTTCCTCCTTAGGATTCAACAGGAAACGCATAGTAGCACGTTATTTCACCCTCTTCAAATATTAATAATTTCCATTATAGACTTTTTTGTTACTTTAGCAAAATGAGTATACAAAATTAAAATATACTTGGAAATTTTTTAAAATAAGGAAAGGTGAGGTTACAGTTTATTTTTGAATTTGAGGGAAATTTCTTCATGTAAGAATAGCTTTCTCAATCTGTGTTTCCTCATTCCCCCTGCAGCTGATGGGTATTGAAGTCGACACAAAGTACGGAGGAACGGGAGCTTCGTTTTTTTCCACTGTGCTGGTGGTTGAGGAATTATCCAAAGTCGATGCGTCTGTAGGTCTCATCTGTGATATCCAGAACACAGTCATTAACAAGCTGATTAAGAAGTATGCAACAGAAGAGCAAAAGGCCACCTATTTTCCGAAGCTGATTACAGACAAAGTGAGTTGAGATGAGCTGTTGAAACGGATCTGATGTTTTCCCAGTTCGCAATAAAAGTAGCTACAGAGCAGACTTTACTATTCCAGACCACAAGTGCAACACCGTACTTAAGCGGTGCTCAATAAAGAAAGAAAAATACACTCTGCCATTGGAAATGTAGAGAATAACCATCAGAAAGTATAACTTTTTTGTTTCAATTATGTTTTTTAATACCATTATTAAAAGAGTTACCGAGAAAGGAAAAACAGGGGAAAGGGCAGAGGCATTCCATCTGCTGGTTCACTGCCCAGACGGCCACAACTGGGCTAGGCCAGGCCAAAGGCAGGAGCTTTTCCCAGGGATCCCCCATGGGGTCAGGGCAAGCACTCGGGCCGTCCTCGCTGCTTCCCAGCACGTGGTCAGCGAGAGTGCAAGTGGAGCATTCAAGACTCAAACTGATGCTGACACTGCCTTGCCTGCTCTGCCAGGATGCTGACCTTGTTACTGTAATTATCACAGCCAGTTTAAGTGAACTGAAGAATGTGTTCTTAAATTTGTCTGAGGCAATAATGGAATTTTTAAAAATACTCTCAGAATATCACTCATCTTTTTTATCAGCATAGGTCATAATAAAAAAGCTAATGCCTGTTTTTTATTGTACAAATGTGTATTTTGCTGTATGTTTAATACAGAATGTAAACATATATGCATATATATTTAAGATTTGTTTGGAAAGTCAAACTGACAGAGAGAAGGAGAGATAGAGACCAAGATCCTCCACCTGCTGGTTCATTCCCCAAGTGGCCGCAGCAGCCAGGAGCCAGCAGCCAGGAGCCAGGAGCCAGGAGCCAGGAGCCAGCAGCCAGGAGCCTCTTCCGGGTCTCCCACGTCGGTGCAGGGTCCTAAGGCTTTGGGCCATCCTCGACTGCTTTCTCAGGCCACAAGCAGGGATGGGAAGGGGAGCAGCTGGGATACGAACCGGTGCCCATATGGGATCCCAGCACATGCAAGGCGAGGACTTTAACCATTAAGCCACAGCGCCGGGCCCCAGAATGTAAATATTAATCTGAGTTTCTTTTCTCACATATGCAGTTGGCAAGTTTCTGCCTGTCAGAAGCTGGGTCAGGAAGTGATTCTTTCTCTTTGAAGACGCGAGCTGAGAAAAGAGGGGATCACTATGTCATCAACGGGTCCAAGATGTGGATCAGCAATGCCGGGCTGGCCGACATCTTCCTGGTGATGGCCAACGTGGACCCTTCTCGTGTACGTGTCCCTTCTCTCCCGCACCTTTTCCTTGCTTTTCCTCCTTTCGTTTCATTTCCAGGGCCTGGTCTTAGCAACTTTCTCCTTGGTACTGGAAATGAGCTAGCATCTTCTCACCCTCTTATTAATCTCCTAAAATAAATATTGTCCACGACTATTAATAGCCTGGAGGACTGTTTGTTACTTACCTCCTCATATGTTATATAGGAAGCTAATCTTTAATTTTGTAGCAATTTCCAGTTTTCTGTTTAATAATGAAGAACATCTATTTTAAAACATATTATATTCTGTTGTAAAATAAACATATTGGAATACTTGAAAAACCTGTGGAAGATGGAATTGTAAACTTATTGTGGTACAAAAGGTTTGAAATCTATGAATATAAAGGACCTTCAGAAAATTCAGAATGCATATGTGAAAACGTAATGCATAAATTTCAAAACTTTTGCATCATAATTCATGTGCTACTATGTTTTTCTGCATATTTTTAGAAGTACCCTGTACAGTAAAATGAACATATATTTTATCTATGCTGTTTTCACTGATATAACACTTATTTAAATTAAATTATAAAAATTTAGTGTTTAATAAATTAAATTTCAAAACATGTAGTCCTCATGATCATATAATGCCTCAGTGTGACAATGCTCATATTCCTGATGCTTTGTGAGGAAGTGAAAGGAACTTTGACTTGTTTGGGCTCTAATAACCTCCAGTTGTTTTGGCTTCATTGTGTGCACTTTTAGTAGTTATTATTAAAGTTCATTTTTAGTTTTTACCTAAAACTCTGTAAACAAAGATTTTTATAAACAGGAGGTAATTGCATTTTAAATCTGCTTTTTAGGGCTATAAAGGAATCACCACCTTCATTGTGGATCGTAACACTGAAGGCTTACACATAGGAAGACCAGAAAATAAACTGGGGATCAGAGCTACTTCAACCTGCCCGTTAACATTTGAAAATGTCAAGGTGGGTGTGTTGGTATTATCAGTAAAGGACTGATGTGGAATAAGCTTTTCTTGGAACCTCCGACCGTGTGCGAGATAAGTGTCCTAACGTTCAGGGCGTTGAGCACACACAGTACTTGCACACTCATGGCAGTGGGGGGTGCCCTTAGGTGACGTCAGGACTCAGACAAGGTGGAGGCCACAAGTGCAAGTCGTAGGCCTGGTTGTCCTGGGGAGCAGTGCAGCACGTGGTGTAACTCAGATTCTTCCCAAACTTTGAAACTTTCGAAGCTTTGTTCTTCAGAAAAGGATATGGTACCAGGTGTCCTCTGCAGGTTCCAATAGAACCTTGCCCTATCCTCCATGTGCACTTGGATTTGCTGACTACTGTTCCATCTGAGCCTCTGAGGAGATTCAGCTTTGACACTTGCACTCCATGGTCAGACCTTGGAACCTGCACTTCTCTTCGTGGTTGGGGTTGTGAGATCAGCAGTTGAGTTGGAGGGATCCTCAAAGAAACTTTGTCTGAGGTGATCCCAGGCCTGATTCCTGTGTGTGCATGCCAGTACAGGGTCCGGCACAGCCTGTTGCCCCAATCAGCTTATGCATATGTTGGTGGTTGCAATTGTTGGGTCGGTTCTGTTTCCAGCCATGTCTTCTACAAGAACCAATGGGTGTTGCAGTCCAGCCTGACTCTGCCCACCACACACTCGGCCCTCACACAAACCAGTGGGAGCTACAGCCTAGTCGGGGAGACTCCCCATAACCCCCAGCAGCCTGCCCCTGTCCTGGTTCCCTTGCTTGCCCATATGTACAGCAGACTGGTCCAGTCAGTCCCACATCCCATTCAGCTCTCCTATATGTCAATGGGCAGTGAAGCCTAGTTCAGTCCAACCAGCCCTCTATCCAGCCCACACACGTGCTGGTGGGTGCCGTTCTGTCTACCCATGTGTGCCCTGTCCTGGTTTTCATGCTCTCCTGTGGGAGTGGTAACATAGAGAGAGGTGGCCACTATTCCCCTCCTGGGCCCACTCCCAGATCATGCACTCTCCAGGTGGTTCTGCAGTTTAGCTTGACAGGATTAAGCCTCAGTGCCAGCATCTGCCAGCTGATGCTGCAACAAAGCCCAACCAGCCCTCACCCACTCTGATCTATGCTTGTACCAGTAAAGCTATCAATCCAGCCTGGCTTTTCCCTGATCTAGCTCACCTGAGGCCCACAGATGTTGTAGCTCTGCCCAGTCTGGTCTGCCCCCATCCCAACTCACACTCTCCAGTGGGAGTGGTGTTCCAGCAGGGGAGCCCTCCACATTTCTCCTACCAGCTTTACCCCTTACCCACCCCCGGGTTTTGTGTGTGCTGGTTGGGCATCGTGTTCCAGTCTGACATGGCCTGCCCCACCTCAACTTTTGCCAGTGGGTGCTCTAGCCTGACCCGGCCTGGCCCAGCACAGCCCGCCCCCAAATCCAGTTCAGGTTGATGGGGGCTAAAGCTTAGCCCAGCCCAGCCGGCACCCAGTCCAAGCCATAATGTGTACTGGTGTGTGTTGCAACCGGAGGATATGGCAAGGTTCTATTGGAACCTGCAGAGGACACCTGGTACCACAACAGGATGGAGGACACAACAAATCGATATCTACCCCAGCCATGGGTTGGCAGCGAAAATCTGGGCAAACAGACTCTAAGGTAGACTGTCAGCAGTGGATATTTTGAGTCTTCATTTTTTTTAAATTACGAAGACACATTTTCTTGTGCCTCCTCTCCCCTTGCTCCTGTCTCCTGTGCACACACAGTTGATTGTTGTGCAGATTAATTTCAGCAGAAGAAAGGTTGGTTTCTCTTACTTTTGCACATGCTGCATAGTTTTGTAGTTCCTACTGTGTTATCTCACATTGGAGCATCCACAGAAGAATTAGGGAGAGTGGGGTGGAATTTCATTCAGTCATTCATTCATGCAACAGATTATGCTAGCTCTGGAAGATGCAAGGGCCTGGGGGAAATATAGACAGAGATGGATGGCTGATTCAGACCTCTCTGATGCAGTAATACGCCTCACAGACTGTGCAGGCATGGAAAATACACCATCCAGCTGGACTGTGTCAAGCCGAGAAATAAGTGCACATGTATTTTCAGGTTCCAGAAACCAACGTCTTGGGACAAGTTGGACATGGCTATAAGTACGCCATAGGCATTCTTAATGAAGGGAGAATAGCAATTGCTGCCCAGGTGAGTCAGATTTTTGCTTCCCATAATGTCAATCATTTAAAATAGAAAAAGACAAAAAAAAAAAAAATGCATTAAGAACAGAGTGTTTGGAAGTTTGTGAACACAAGATGGCGCCCTTCCCTTACATGGGAAGGTTGATTTCCCATAGTTTGTTTCAATTACGTAGTGCCTGGAAAACCAAGCAGTGGCTAAGTGCTAGGCTTTCTGCTTTGAGAACGTTAAAGTATCATCCAGTCCTTGGGCTGATGGTTTCTAAAGTGAATTGTAACTGAAATGTGGCTTTGTATTAAGCTCAACTTCTCAGAGTATGTTATTTATGCTAGAATAAAAGTTTAAAATGAAAAAGACAATATTCTACTGTATAGTAAGGTCCCTAATCTGTAGTTAATGTAAGACTTGCTCATGTTTTGCATGGAGTAACTGGGCCGTTTGTGTGTGTGGCAGGTGAAGCAAAATAACCACAATGAGAGATGGGTAGATAACTATTTTATGCCCTTAAAATTCATATTACGTTTTTATATGATATGATATCACTTATTTTGTAATATTTATTTGCTTCATGAAGTGAATAAGGTCTTTGGCTTTACTATAAATAATGTCTTTGTTTAAATAACATGATTTTTATATAGGACATTGATTTGTAGTCAATGAGTATCTAAAATTCAATAGCTCTCATCTTTCAGGTTTTAAAGAAAGCACATTTGTATTAGCTATTGGAGTAGATAAGTTTTGCATTGTTATTCTAGACTTTTTTGCTACTATTTTTAGATCTAAATTTTAACCCAGATTTCCCACAAAGCTAGACAATGGGTAGCTAAAAAGAATTGCCTCATTTGTTCCTTTTTTGAAGTTTTTCTGTGACTTGACTTTGTCAGCTTTGGCATTCATGAGACAGCTCTGAGTCTCGTTGCTTGCGGACACACAGGTGGTGTCCGTCTTCCGGCACCGTCCTGGGCTGCCATCGAATCATCCGAGTTATCTCACAACCTGTTCAAGTTCAGGTCAGCTGGAGCGATGCCTGGGTGCGAGCCTTAGACAAAAGGCGAACTGAAGGCATTGTTCTGGAAACCCTGCTGTTGGCAAGAATCCAGCTCTTGGGCATTTGGAAAGGAAGCCTTTTCCTGAGGTGGCTGAGCTCTGTGTGGACAGCGGGCACTCCAGCTTCCTGTCAACACCGGGGGCGACTTCCGTCCTGTGAGCTGGCAGCATACAGCGACGTCACTACAGCCAAGAATACATTGAATCTCATTTTAATTTTGGAGCTTGTGGGAGGTTTTGGCCATTTAATTTTTAATACAATATTTCTATTTTCCAGAATGTTAAAATAAAAGGCTAAAAGAAAATGTGAATGAATGCTAATGAAATATTGATGTTTGTGGGCATTTTCCCCCAAGGCTATAATTATTGATTTTTTTTCTTTTTCTAAAGCCTACACAGTTTGACATAATTAGATAGTGATTTAATGGCTGTCTAATGTTGAAATTTAGGAGCCATTTCTAAGTTTGGGTTGCTCAGTAGAAATGGAAATTGGTTAGCAGTGAGACAAATTCAGCGCAAACTGTCACCATGTCCTGGTTTGTCCTTTTGCTTGTAAATTAACTTTTTTTTTTAGCCATATACTATCAGTTGCTTCCGGTCGTGAGTTTGCATTAAACCAACTGGAGAATTTTGAAGAAGATGGTATTTGGGATAAGACTTGAATCCAGTTGTTAGGCTCAGTTTCAGTGTTTTGTTTTTTTTTTTTAACTGAATTCCCCAGACAGCTCTGATGTATAGCCAGGGCTGAGCATCCCTGCTCTCTCAAATGCTTGCTGACCCTAATTATACCCAAAATGGACAGGAAGATAGAGGATTGAGAAGTGACACTGAGCACCTGAGTCCTGGAAAGACTGGGGGAGCTGCTGTGCCATCTGCCAGGTTGTGAGTGAAACGTGTGCGGCTCCCTCTGTACCCAGAGGGTCGGAGCTTCCAGGAGGAGACTTCCGGAAAGCAGCCCGCTCGGGGGCAGGTCGCATGCCGGGAGATCTGCTTCAACGCCGGAATGAAATGCACTGGCGTATATAAGATAATTAAACTTGTCTCCTGAATATTGGAAATTCGGTTCCATAGACACAGGCAGCAAAGATGCGTTACTGAAACGTACCTTGCACTTGTGCAGCTCCACTGCTTTCCTGGCCCGGTTCCTCAGTTTGCCTTAGAAGGAATCTCTAGGGCTGGTGTTGCAACACGTGAAGCCGTCGTCTGCCTGTGCTGTCGGCGTCTCTAAACAGAGTGTGGATCAAGTCCCACCCATTCCTCTCCCCATCTCACTCTGTGCCAGTGCAGGGCACGCTCCAAGCGCCGGAGCCCTGCCACTCCAGTGAGGGGCGAGGATGGAGTTCCTGGATCCTGGATTCAGGCTTGCCATAGTTATGGCCAACTGTATGACATCAATAAGTCTTAAATTTATGTTTTATTTTATTAAAAAAAAAAGTTTTACCACTGGCATTATTGAGAGCATTAGCTTATCATTAAATAAAAATGCTGTTTGTATTTTTAACAGATGTTGGGACTGGCCCAGGGATGTTTTGACTATGCTGTTCCATATATCAAAGAAAGAATGCAATTTGGCACAAGAGTGTTTGATTTTCAGGTATGTGGTCCTTGAGTCCTTCCCACTCCTCCAGGCTTCCACTGTGGGAGGCAGTGCAAGCAGAGGGAGAGTGAGGGGAAGCACTGGAAAGCCCAGAGGGATTCCCTCAAGGCAGCGCAAACAGGGGAGTTAGAGAGAAAGGACTAGATCTGGGGAGTGCACCTGTGAAAGTTAGTCCACTCCACTGGCAGAATGTGACTCGGGCTGCCTTGGTGAGCAACACAGAGCTTGTTTCCTCATTACTTTAGAAGCTCCAAGTCTGGGCCCAGCATGGTAGCCTAGTGGCTAAAGTCCTCGCCTTGCAAGTACTGAGATCCCATACGGGTGCTGGTTCTAATCACAGCAGCCCTGCTTCCCATCCAGCTCCCTGCTTGTAGTCTGGGAAAGCAATAGAGGACAGCCCGAAGCCTTGGGACCCTGCACCCACATGGGAGACCTGGAAGAGGCTCTGGGTTCTTGACTTCGGATCAGCTCAGCTCAGCTTCAGCCGTTGTGGACGCTTGGGGAGTGAATCAACAGACAGAAGATCTTCCTGTCTCTCCTCCTCTCTGTGTATCTGACTTTCCAATAAAAAATAATTTTAAGTTAAAATGTGTTTAAAGTGCTCAGCAGTACTTGGGTTGACAGGCACTTGTAAAGGGCACCATTTGTCAGGAATCCTGGCGGAGCAGATCTGGTGGTAAGGCGAGGAGGAGGCTTTGGTGTGTACATCTGTACAAAGTAATAGTTGGCTGCCTTAGATGAGGCTGCTGGGCAAGCCTAGGAGGAAATGCTTGCCAGTGGCAGCATCCCAGGGTTCCCAGCAGGAGCCTCCTGGTGGCAGGGCTCTTCTCCCTGTCCACACAGAGGTTTTGCCAGAGTGAAGACACCCTGGTGGAGCAGCATACCAGGCCCTCCTGGCATCTCGGAGCCTTGCGGGGTAGCATTCCAGCATAACTGACTTAAAAGCCTCCCCTCAGCCAACTCTGGGCTCCGAGTATACTTTCTGGTGGCACTGCCAGCTTTGTCATGCTGCATCATCTCCAGGTTTGTAACAGACGCATGCACGCTGTAGAGAAGATACTAGGCTCTGGTCAGGTGCTGTCATTCAGCACCCAGAAGGACCGAGGATGCAGGCTGGCCCCGCGCCTTGCCGCCTTGACCTTGTTCCCAACCTCTGCACGGGAAGGTGAACTCCCGAGGCCATAGAGCTGATATGGTGCCAATGGCAGATTTTTGTCTTGGCTCCTGGGCTAATTTTCATTTCCTTCTACTAGAGTATGTTTCAGAGCCACCTGCCACATTGATTCCAAACAAAGGGATGGGAAGAGAGGACAGGTTTGATCTCTGCTTGTAGACGAAAGTGTAGGCACTGAATGTAGGCAGTGGGGGAGGTCGGGTCTGATGGGGTAATGATAATGGCCCGATCAGAGGAAAACTTGGAAAGCTGGTCTTAAAAAATTAATATTATTAACTGTGAAGATTGGGTGAAAGTTAATTCTTACTCCACTGCTTTATCTCGTTAGAATGATTTGCTTTGTACTTTGAGCGTGTCAACATGATAGAATTCTTGAGGGTCAGGACCAGGCCTGAGCAATCTTGCATCTTTCAATTGACCTTGTCCCCATCCTCTACAACAGCGAATGAATGAGCATCCTCTCGTGCCAGGACACGGTGGAATTAGAGGAGCTGATTCACGGGCCACAGTCACTTTTCTGAGTACGCGATGTTGTTGGACTAGACAGTCTGGTTGGGATCTATAGGCACAGTTGGACTGAATATACTTGGCAGAAATGGTCAGAATCAAGAATTCTACATAAAAGACATAAAACATTTCTACAACAGTGATGTTAGTATAGGAATAGACAAATTAAATATAACAGGCACGTTGGTAAGCCCAACTTGGTGATGATTTACAACCATTTACATTTTGACAAGGGCAAAAATTATATGAACTTTGAAACTTCTATAGAAGAAAGGACTTAGCTATACCTGTAGTGTCATGATTTCATTTTTAGAGAGCAGATTTTAAGCTATTTGAAAGAAATAAATGTGAATTTCCTTTGGATGTGTTAAGACTGCAGTGTGGTATGGCCAGGCAGGACTGTGAGGACGAGCTGTGTGCATGTCCACGCGTCATTATTCTGTAACTTGGGCCTGTCTTTACAGGGGCTGCAACACCAAGTGGCTCACGTGGCCACCCAGCTGGAAGCCGCAAGGTTACTAACGTACAACGCTGCTAGGCTTGTAGAAGCTGGAAGGCCCTTCATCAAAGAAGCATCTATGGCCAAATACTTTGCATCTGAGGTAAAGGGGGCGGAGGAAGAGTCCCTCAGCCTTGTCTTCTGTTGTTGAGGTGTGTGACCCTCAAGCTGTGCAGCAGAAAAGCCAAAGAGGAAAGCTGCCGTTGGAACGTACTTTGCTTCTGGGGGTCCCTCAGCAGCCCAGTTTGCGCCGGCCCCCACCACCACCGGCCGTGAGGCTCCTCTCAGGGAGGGTGCCCTGCCTCCGCTTCCCAGCTGGGGCAAAGTGGACTTTATGATACCAGCAGACAAGATGAAAAATGCCCAGACAAGATGGTCTATGCTTTCTGGGCTTTCTGCCCACACACATCTGCACCGGCTAGCAGAGGGGACTTTGGCTGCAGTTCAGTCAGATCAGCCAGCAGCTGCTTCCCAGCCCCAGCGTGCACCCCCAGTCCCGTCTCAGCAGTCTCCTCTGGCCGCTCTGACCTGCTCTTTCCCTTGGCCCCAGCGTCACCCCATCATCTCTTCCTGCGCCTTCCACCCGAAAAGACTTCAGGCTCTGCGTGTCGCTGGCTCCCCACTGCCACATCTCTGGTCTAAGCAGTAACATTTCTTCATCAATGCCAACCCCTGGTCTCTTGGTCCCTGTTGCTTCCCTTGAGCCACTCTCTCTCCCTCCTTCAGACACCCGTGAGGTCATGTCCGTCTCCAGCTTTAAGCCCTTCTGTGGCTTCTTATGACACACAGAACACAATCTGTCCAGTTCATCGCTACTGCCACACCAAGGGGCCTGAAGCAGCACGGCTCTGTCATTCTCCCTTCTGGAGTGCAGAAGTCTGAAGCAGGTCTCCCTGCGAGCCGGAGGCCCTGGAGCAGCATCCTTGGTCAGCTTCTGGAGGCTATTCCCACGCCTTCACTCGCGCCCCTTCCCTTGTCTGCATCTCAGATCTAACTCCAGGCTCTCATCACGTGCGGTGACTGATCCTCCTGCTTCCCAGCCTGTAGTTCAAGGCCAGCCCCCTCCCTCAGGATGCTGTATGCCATCTGCAATGGCCCCGTGACGCGCAGGGTGCCATGCTCGGGTTCTGGGAAACAGGCTGTGGACACACACAAAGTGGCCGTCCAGTAAGGCCTCTCCCCTCCGTTCCCCTGTGCCTGCGCCCCTGCTCCCAGGCCCCCCTCCGCTCAGAGCCTCCCTCCATGTCGTCCTCCTCTTGCAATGCCCCTAGTGCATCCCTTAGGTCTCCACTAAGCAGAAATCTCCCCCACTGTTCTGCCATCTGGATCACATCGGCTTCCCTCACAAACTTCTGTTTTGCCCCTTGCGGTTTGTCAGTTTTCGTGTTGGTTTCATGTCTGACTCTAAAGGGCCAACCAGGACCAACAGGCCAGAGACTAGCACCACCGCTTCCACTGCATGCCCAGGCTGGCAAAGTATGCATTATGAAGAAGGCCCTCTGATCTTGGCTGGGCAACTGGCACCTGTTGGCAAGCATGAGTGTGAACGGGCTCTCGTAATCTTAGGAACAAATCAGAATGGTGTGAACTCACAGGTATCGTGTGACGTGGTCCGGGGAGACAGGCCTGCCCTGACCTCAGTGCTGCCACTTGTCAATCACGGCAAGTGCGTATTGCCGAAGATGCCACTCAGAAGTATTTAGACTGCATACCAGTGTGGTGCCAATGCGTGATTTGCTGCTTTGTTTTGGCAGATTGCAGGGCTAACAACTAGCAAGTGTATCGAGTGGCTGGGAGGAGTAGGCTACACCAAAGATTACCCCGTAGAAAAATATTTCCGAGATGCAAAGATTGGTAAGTGGGTTTATTATTATTATTACTATTATTATTATTATTATTTTACTTTTTGTTTTATTTGGCTCTGTAGGTTTTTGGCCTATTGAATTTGTTGTTTTTTTATTACTAGTACCTAGGCAAAGGCAATTTTAATCTCTTCACTGTATGCTTATCAACTCTCACCATTTCTTATGGCTGAGTTTTTTCCTACCTCTTCCTTTAAAAAAATTATATTTTTAAATATCACATTGCTTTTTAAAATGACTTAGGAGGTTTTAGTAAAATTGCACCAACATTTATAAGCTTAATTCTTTCAATGAGAATGTACTACCCTTAGTGATTAATGTGGTCTCACAGTGTCCTTGGAGTAGCGCTCTAATTGCACAAGCTAAGCGTAGAATCAGGTCTGCGCGCTCCAGTGCTCCACCACCACAGGGGGAAGCAAGCACAGCGGCCTCGCGGCCCGCAGCCGCACCGTGGGCTGCTCGACACTGCTTCCCAGCACCCGCGAGCCAAGGGAGAACCTGGTCTCCCTCTTGCCTGACGGTTAAGCAGGGGCCAGGGAGGTCTGCCCTAGCAGGTGACCGGAGGGTGCGGGCTGCAGGGCAGTGCCGTGGGCAGAATCCTCACTGTGGGTCCGCTCTGCCCCTACTGTTTCAGGAACCATCTATGAAGGGACTTCCAACATCCAACTGAACACCATTGCCAAGCACATCGATGCTGAGTACTGAGCTGGTGGCAGGGGCCTCTGCAAGTCGCACGTCCCTGCTGGAGCTGCTGTGCTTTGCTGGGGGAGCAGAGCTCCGGCGTCCATGCAGCCTGAGCCCGTGGCCGCAGCCTCACTCGAGGCCTTTTCTGCCTTTGCAGTCTGTTTGATTCACGCACAGGGGATCATTTTTGTAGTTGGGAAGAAATGCACCTGTATTTTCTCTGCAACTGTCTTTAAACTTCTCTACATGTTTCCGTTGTTATAACATTAGAGCATCTGGAGCTTTTGCTCCATCCGCATTTGGCAAAGACAGACATTTGAAGTGTCTTTTCTAGAAATGACCATTTTATATTCCTAGGAGCCTTGTATCTTGTGTCGCCAGAGAAACATCGTTTTCACAGTTTTTAATTAATACTTTAAAGATTCTACTTCTAAATATCTGAGAACGAGAATTAATGGCAGGCATCTCTTTGTTGGTTCTATAATTGGAGAATAGTAAAAGATGCATTTCCTGATGGTTCCAGCAGACCACTGGGACAACAAGCCTCCGCCCTGGCTCTCAAGGATAAAGTCTGAGCGGTTGGTTTAATAATCAGAGAACACTGGATGTTGTCCTACTCCTTGCAGCGTGCTTTACTTCTCAGTAGAGCAGCTTTTGTTCCTGAATCTTAACTGAATGTGATTTCCTCAAACTCTGTGGCAGGGCTTTCCCCTGAACAATAATTCAGAAATGGAGTTTTGGTTCAGACATTCTGCCAGCTCCTTGGAGCAGTGTATCAGAATCATATCAGAAATGAGAAACACGGGCGTGCCACGGAGCTCAAAAAAGGAGATTCAGTGTCAAGATGATTTAATATTTGCAAAGTCGGAGATAATTCTCTTGCTTTACAATACAAATTGCAGGCAGGCAGAGCTCAACCAAAGAGATAGCTGGCAGTGGCTCCGAGTTAGGGACACACAGGCCACAGTCGAGACCCCTAAAGTTCCCAGAGACCGGAAGACCAGAGAGGAGCAATTCCTGTTTTCTAAAAACATTGGCCACAGGTTAAAGATGAAAAATGCCCCAAGGCTCATGAAGTCACATATAATAATCACTATTATTAAACGGAAAGTATTTTAGCACTTTAAGGAAAAGATAATGTTTGTTAAGAAAATGTGATGGGTTGGCGGGTAGGGGCAGCAAAAAAAAAAATGTGATGTTTTCAAAGCAGTTTTGCTCTGCATGTTCATGTTTATTCATGTTCATGTTTATTCATGTTCATGTTTATTAATTTCTACAATGCAAATTGTAGTTAAACACTCCAATTGTAGAAATACAATTGCGATAAGAATTACATTTTTAAAATTAGAGAAGGAATTAAGAATAAATTTATACCTTGAACCCAGAGATGGAGTATACTTGACTTTTAAATAGGGAGGTGATGAAAGCAAGAGCAGAAGGAAGCCTGCGAGGAATGGGTTGGCTGTGCCCAGGGGGCAGATGCCTCTCAAGGTGGTGATGATTTGAAAGAGGTTGACTTTACAAAAACAAAGCAGGCCTGGAAGCGCACACTCAATGCCACGTTCAACGCCAGGCACCACAGGCCCCTGGCGCACGCCTGCACCTTGGCTTTGTTTGCTCTTGACAGAGTTCTACTTGATTAACTCAGAAAGAACGCTTACATTACTTCTATTCTGTATTGTAGCTAATCTAGCTGCCTACCTCCTTCTGTTGGTGAATTGTGTCATTTCACCTAAGGAGACGTTGGTTTCCCGGCTTCTCCGGATAACCATGGCTCTGGCTCCTGAAGCCCGAGCTTTGCTGGGGAGCCACTCTTCGCCTCCTGCCGTCTGTCAGTGTTGTTTCTGGACTTGGGCTGCCCTGGCGCTCGGGAAGGACTGACCAGCTTCACGCAGGCACAGCTGACTCAAACCAACTGCCGAGTTGGGGTGTTTAAAGGTTTCATTTTACAATGTAAAAATGAATCTGTCGGATTTTAGAATCCCGGAAAGTTAAAAAGTGAAGGATTCATAGCCGAGATTACTTGCCCAAGTCATCCGCTCAGCAATAAAAATTCCAAAAGTGCCAGCTCCCAATCCAGAGTTCCTCCCGTCGTTAAGCGTCGTCTCTTTCCCCAGATGTTGGGTTTCGGTTTCATCCTTGTTACAGTTGATTGATTTTAGGTTTAACTGGTAATGAGCATTTCAGAAGTCTTGTAATGAATCCATATCATCCCTTGCCTGCATCAGTCACCTGGCAAAGACCCTGGCATTTGGCGAGGCCTTCTAGTTGTTGGCTGGTGTGTCAAATGGGAAATTATTTTATGTGATCACTTCGTTTTATTGTTAAAGCGAGTTTTAGTGCAATGATTGTATCCTTGCTGGTATATTTTTGCTGATCTTTCATAAAGTGCAAGTTGTTTTAATGCTATGTTGCAGACTGTATTCTGTGTTACAAAATCAATATTCTATGGAGAATGAAAAAATAAAGTACTAAATTAACTGCAGATCTTTGCTACTCTGATAACACAAAATTGTTAGCTGACACAGATGAAGGCAGAAAATAATGCCGTCACCTGCCACAAGACACAGTCCGTTTGTTGAGCTCGCCTCCTGGCCCCGCCATGGCCCCAGAGGCGGCCCTCCCAGAGGCGACCTCTTTGGAGCGTGTCACAGGGCTGCTTCCTGGCGGTGTCCGGCCTGTGCTTTAGAGCGTTACTCCTGGAGCTTCTGCATTACCGCCCTTGATCTCAGCGATACGCTGTTGCCTAAATCCATGGTGGATCTCAGCATATCTTTGCCCCGTTATTTCCTGCCTTTTTTTTTTTAGAAGCCTGGGTGTCAACCCCCTTGTCTCCCACTGTCACTCAGCATCGCACGCTGAGTGGTTACCATAGCCCAGGTGCTGTGGACTCAGAGCAGCTACCACCCAGGGGTGAGCTCCAGCGGCTCCTCGGTGGACGTGGTCACTGTTGACCCTCCCAGGAAGACTGAACACTCTCAGGGTCAGTCTCCACCGGAGTGTTTCCTTATACCGTTAGCATCACACCAGTCAGTGCTGACTGTTCTACACATTGTCCGGCACTCTTCCTATCCACTAATTCACAGCAACCCAACGAGTGGGCAGTCTTGTCATCCCATTTTACAAGCAAGGAGACAGAGGCTTGGAGAGGTTAAGTAAGGGGCTGGTTGTGGGGTTCACACTCAGCAGTCTGAGGCCCACCATGCACAACCGCCCTGCAGGCCCACCCTGACTCATTCATTAGTCTTCAGGAACCTCACAGTAAAATGAGACCACCACTTATTAGCTGATAGAAAGCTGGTTGAGTTTCAAAGCTTGTCCAGAAGAGAATTCAGCTGAAAACAGGACCAAGGAAATAAATAGGAAAGGTGGGAGGGGTCAGGGCCAGGGCAGCAGCAAAGTGGAATCAGAGGAAGAAGAAGGCCTTGGCAGGGCAGCTGAGGGAGTGCCAAGACGAAAGTCGTTACCACAGGGATTTCACTCTGGGAAATGCTGTGTGCCACGTTGGCTTTCATTTGAGAAAGCAGCTAGAAGCTAGCCTGGGTGAACAACCCAGCGTGCCAAGCGCCTGCGTGGCAGCTGTAGGCCATGTGATAGGCAGCTAAGCAGGTGTACAGTTGCCCAATCTAAAGAAACAAGCCTAGCCTTATGACCTTTAAACATTTAATGGCATTTGTTTGTAAATCAGGCAGGAGCGCCGTGTGCAGACCGAGCGCGGTGCGAGCAGCAGCCACAGCACAGGCCCATCACGCTGTCTAGCCATTCGCGAGCCAATTGAGCCATTTCATTGGCCTTCTCTAGCCATTTCTGAAATGAATAGCTCTGTTTACCAAATTCCTGAATTCAGTAGTTTCTAAAACTGGTGTTAAGCAAAGAGCTGAAGCCCGTGTGACCACCAGAGACCAAGGGACTGAACCCAAGATCAAAGCATCTCAGAATTCTCTCCAACTTAAAAGAAACAACGGATTTCACAAAATTCTCAAAATGAATGTGGCTAAAGGCAGAGTATGACTACTTACCCAGAGCAACCCCAGGTTCCTGGGAAGGCTTAGAAAGATCTTGTCTGTGGGCAAATGATTGACCTTATAATTTTTAATAAAGAAATCTTACTAATTGTAAAGCCAATAGAGTAGGAATCTAACCAAACAATTGTGCCAGTAGATGGGTTAGATGAACTTGTTCAGAATTAAGTGTTCAAATGTGGCGAAATGAAAATGCAATTTCCAGGTGCGGATAAACCAGGGATACCCAAAACAAAAGAGCATGGGAAAATTGAAATAAATAGATGGAAAAATGCCCCTACACGTGCTGCAAAGAAGAAAGAAGGGAAAACTGCATTAACATCTCACGAAGCTAAATTAAAGGCAAAATAAAGACTAGCTCATAGAAAGGGAGCGATCCCCCAGAAGACGCCACGGAACAACATACCTGTGGATGACATGGAACAAAGCAAATAGAAATACAATGGAAACAATTGACAATCCACAATCATAGTTGCCGACCGAGAAAGCACCGGGTCACGTAGCGAAAGGCAGAGGCAGACCCGGAGGCTGAGGGACACGCACTTAACCAGCTGGGCAAGGGAAGCTTTGCTTTTTGCTTCTCACCAAAGGCAAATGAATATTCGTTAAAATGTTCTCAAAATTTCTTTGAATTCTAAAAAGACAGATTGTGACAGGTAGCGTTCACTGTACACAAGTGAAACGATAGGATACAGACCCCCAGACATAAGGCTAACAACCTGGAGTAGTTACAAAGAGGGGTGAGAAGATGGGTGTGTCACTCTGGGTGGATAGAGACTCCCCTCTGGTGCTGGGTCCTCAGTCTTCATGACTTCATCCGCATCTTCCCACTCCCTCAGTCTAGGAGGGAACTTCAGAAAGCTCACAGAAAGATGGAATAGTTAAAAGATTAAGCTGGGCCCGGTGCAGTAGCCTAGCAGCTAAAGTCCTCACCTTGTACATGCCAGGATCTCATATGGGTGCTGGTTCTAATCCTGGCCACCCTGCTTCCCATCCAGCTCCCTGCTTGTGGTCTGGAAACGCAGTCGAGGACAGCCCAAAGCCTTGGGTCCTGCACCCTTGTGGGAGACTCAGAAGAGGCTCCAGGCTCCTGGCTTCAGATTGGCTCAGTTCCAGCTGTTGCAGTCACTTGGGGGGTGAATCAACAGATGGACGATCTTTCTCTCTGTCTCTCCTCTCTATATATCTGACTTTCCAATAATAATAATAATAATAATAAATTAAGCTGTGTCCTATGACAACAGCAGTGTCCCACATCGGAGGGCCGGTTCAAGTCGCAGCTGCTCTGCTTAGATCCAGCTCCCAGCTGACGCATCTGGAAAAGCAGAAGAGCCCAAGTGTTTACGGCCTTGCCACACGTCACAGACCCAGGTGAAGCTTCTGGCTCCTGGCTTCATTTGGGACCAGCCTCAACCATGGTGGCCACTAGAGGCGTAAACCAGCAGATGAAATATTTCTCTGTTTGTGTAACTGTCAAATAAATGTACCTTTTTAAAAAAAATTATTAAAAAAAAAAAAGTTTAGGGCACATGCTTGACCAGGTGGCCAAGACAGCTGAGAGGTGCGGATCAGTGTCCAGGCTCTGCCCACCTCCAGCTCCTGAAGCCGGCTCCGCTAGTGCAGACAGCTGGGGGACGTGCGGATGGCTCAGGCAACTGCCACCCGCACGGGAAAGAGGGACCGTGTCTCTGCTTCTGGCCTAGGCCATGGCTGCAGCTGGGCCCAGCTGTGGCAGGCATTTGGGGAACGAACCTGCAGATGGTCTCTCTCTGTCTCTCTCTCTCTCTCTCTCTCTCTCTCTCTCTCTCACACACACACACACACACACACACACACACACAAATTAAGAAAATACTTATTTTGCTGCAAAAAAAAAAATTTGAGATCTATTCAGTTTTTCCAATTAACCATTTGTCTGAACTTTTTGAAAAATTCTACCTTCAAGGTGTTTTAAAATTGTTTTCATTCATTATTTGTGTTTGACAGCTGGGGAGAGATCCTGTCTGCTGGTTCATTTGCCAAATGCGCACAGGGAACGGGCCTGGGCTGGGCCAGAGCCGGGAGTCAGGGGTGCAACCCAGGTCTCCGCTGAGCTGACAGACCTCCACGCTTGAGCCCTTGCTTGTTGTCTGCTAGGGCGTGTGTCCATCCGCTGAAAGCTGGAGTCAGGAGTGCCAAACCCAGGCATTCCCATCTGAGGGCAGGGCTCCTAGGCAAAACACCTGCTCCTCCATAAACTTTCTGAAGTCCCCTCAAATCTCTTCATCCTTAAAAATTGCCTCCCATGAGCCTCTGCTCTGCGTACTGGCCCCCAGCTAGCCCCTCGCTATTCAGTGTTCTCCGGAGTTGACTTTCCAGTTTAAAAGGTTGCCCTAGTATATCCTTCCCAGCTTCCGTAGTTTCAGGCACCCCTTTAAAAAAGAGATTTATTTATTCTTCTAAGAAAGTCAGATATGCAGAGAGGAAGATCTTCCATCCACTGAGTCACTCCCCAAGAGTTCACAACTGCCAGAGCTGAGCTGAACTAATTCAAAGCCAGGAGCCAGGAGCTTCTTCCATGTCTCCCACATGGATGCAGGATCAAGGCTTTGGGCCATCCTCGACTGCTTTCCTAGTCCACAAGTATGGAGCTAAATGGGAAGCAGGGCTGCAAGGATTAGAACCGGCGCCCACGTGGGATCCAGGCATGTGCAAGGAAAGAACTTTAGCTGCTAGGCCACCACACTGGGCAGCCCTTTTCTTCCTGAGGTCTTTGCTGCTCTGACAAAAGCACTGGCCCCTTTTTGATCAACTCTTCATGGGCTTCTTTCCCCTTCGGTGGAAATTTTTAACAAGCTTCTTCCCTAAGACAGCCTCCATTCTCTCAACCCATGATTCTGCGCCTGCTCTGTGCGTTAGACAGCGGGAACGCCTTCAAGGTGCACACAACGAGACCCCTTGTCCCCAGAAGCCTAGCCAACGCATTGGGTCGAGTTTATTTCCTGTCTGTTTGGGCGCGGTGTCCTGGGAGCTTTGGAAAGTTACATCAAAATCTTCTTTTTAACATTTATTTTTATTGGAAAGGCAGATACACAGAGGGGAGGAGAGACAGAGAGGGGGAAAGATCTTATGTCCGCTGATTCACTTCCCATATGGCTGCAACAGCTGGAGCTGAGCTGATCAGAAGCCAGGAGCGCTTCCGGGTCTCCCACATGGGGTAGGGTCCCAAGGTTTTGGGCTGTCCTCCAACGCTTTCCCAGGCCACAGGCAGGGAGCTGGATGGGAAGCGAAGCTGCTGGGACATGAACCGGGGTCCATATAGGTTCCCGGCGCATGCAAGGTAAGGACTTTGGCCACTAGGCTACTGCACCAGGCCCAGAAAGTTCCCTCTAAAATGCAGGAGGTGCACTAGGAAGGAGGGAGAGTCAGGGAGCCTTACTGAGCACGTGTCAAGAAGAGTACCACACTGTCCCCTGGAC